AAAGAATAAACATTAATACATATGAGTTAGATTTTTTACTTAAGTATGATGTGAGTTCTACATTAATGTAAGTGATCTTACTCTTTTTCATATATGTTTTACAAATGTGTGTGCAATTTCTCTTTAAGAAGTATAAGATAATGAATGCATGAATACAGAGGAAGGAAATAAACAAGAGTATACCATTACTAAAAGAATAAAAAAGGACATGACAAATCAAAATATTCTCATTGAAAAAATATGTCTTTATTTTATATTGTTTGGTAATTAGGATTTTTTTAATTGTAATGTAAGTTTAATTATGTAATTATGACATGTTAGACCTTATTGAGCTCAATAAGAAAGATTCATTATCTGTCAAGAGAAAGTAAACAAGAAACATATTTGAACTAAGTGATGGAACTTCTTAAGAGTTAAATGGGGCCTTGACACCCTTTTTTCTTTAATATATATATATATATATATATATATATATATATATATATATATAATATGACTTTTATATAAAAATTGACCTTTTAATTTTATTACATTTTACATGTTTGGAACCCATAAATAATATGACTTGAATTGTATTCACATTCTTAATCCAATCCAAGATGATTTTTGCCAAAGATAAAGCTACGAGAAATAAAGAACATGTGAAACAAGCAATGGTAGTGTGACCAAGATAAAAAAACATGAATTAAACACACCACACTTTGATATCATTGCTAAGGAGACTTTGGCGCTAATATTAAATTTGAATTTGAATTTTCCTCTCTTATTTTAATTTGAATTTGTATCTCAATTTTCTTTAAATTTTTGGATCAAGGTGCTATATATAGTCACCATCTTTCATTGTAAAATCACTTTATGATATATGAAAATTTGAGTTTTGGAGAGAAATAATAGTGATTTCTTGTTCTTAGATCTTATCTTGGTTTATATGAATTAATTGACGATTCTTCATCTTCATTTATCTAGAAGAGCTTCTTCTACAAGTGACATGATTATTTTCATCTTTGAAGTCTTATATCATTATCTTGTTTCATTCATCTTTTCTTATTTATTTTAACATCTTCTATCTCACACCCACTCTTCTCGTGGTTCTTGTGTTATTATTTTGTTCTTCTTATTCATATTGTTTCATCATAAACATTTGCATTTGTTTAAGAGATTAAACTCATGTTTAGTGGCAAATGATGAAATAATTTTTTTTTGTTTTCTTCTTACTAAACTTGTTTCATCACAAAGCTCCACACTTCTAAAGATTAACCAATGTCTAGTGGTAAATAATAAAATGTTAATAAATGAATCTTAAAGAAAACTAAAAACATATTTTTTTCCTAAATTTAGAAATACTTCCATTTCTATGTTAAACTTTATTACCACATCATCTACTAAAAAACCTAACAAAAATACTAAGAATTGACCAAGAATCAAACTTCTTTACCCAACTAACTTTCATATTAAAAGAAAACCCAATAACCATTCTAGAACCAATGAAGAGCTACCCCATATAGCCTAAATCCACTCCATACCTCAAGCTTCATTCATCTTAAAGCTTATTAATTATGCAAGCTTGAGTGTCCAATATAATTTTGTGATTGATTTAAGGTTAGGTAATGACTAACTTGAATTTATTATCTAATAAATGAAATTTAGATATTGATAATTGATTAGACATTAAGAAAGTTATTTGAATAAAACTAAAAAAAATGAGAATTTAATGATGGATTTGTTGTAAAAATTTCACCTAGGTTGATTAATGCTACATTTGTTAATTTGAAATCAATTGTATTGGTGATAATTGGTTGATTAATGCTACATTAGTGAATTTTGAATTGATTGTATTGGTGATAATTGGTTGATTAACCAAAGTAGAATATTAATTCATTGGAATCAAGCATTTTTCCTCTCTTGTTGTTTTTTGTTTTGTTTCTTTTGTTTTGTTCATAAACAAATCCTCCCCTATGTTTATGTTATGAGATGATATGTATTAATTAATTACTAATAGTGAATGATCTTTTGAAAAGAACATAGGTTTGAATGAACCTATTTACACTTGCTATTAATTGAAAAATCTTTTGTGAATTACAATGTTTGTAATCACGAACTCATCTGACCCTCCACTAACCAACATCTAAGCTTAAAAATATTTTTAAGTAATAGATCAAATCTTGGAATCTTGTGAACAAATCTATTTTGTACTTGTTAGGCCTCTTTTGCCATTTGGTAAACCTTTTCATTACATTGACACAACTAATTTATCATCACGACCTTCTACGAAATCAGAGTATCATCATTCTTTCATGATGTGTATCTTGAACCTCTTATCTTAAGTGTTTGAAAATTTTGCGATCCTTCAATGGTAAGGAACAAAGTTTCTACCATTTGACACCAATATATTATAGAAAAAGCCTGGAAGGAGTTTAGGTAAACTCAACTTTCAATATGTACTATTTGTATTTTATTTTGCAATACTCGAAGACTATTTCTAGACCTAAAATCGGTTACATCACAATAATTTTATTAATAAGGAAGTCATATATGTTTGTATTATCACTTGTCTCCTAAGCCTTTAGGTCTCACAACCTACATAATCCTACTTTTCCAATATCCACCCCTACATGTGTTAACAACATGTTTCAATGATTCTTAAGTGTGTGATGTCATGCAACTCGCGTGGAACTTACCCACTAATAATCATTTAAAGGAAATATAAGATAGTCTTAGACTTAAGTATTCTTAATAGCTTTGATCATAACTATACCTATCATAATGACTTAGAAACTTATTGAGGATACATAACCCCTTAACCTCATGGTCACAAAGCAATAATCCTTAAAAATTTAAAGAATTAAATGTTTTTAGTAGGAGTGTCAAAATAGACTTAGTCTGATAGGATGATTTGAAAGACCTAAGTTAAGAAATAAATCAGGTTAGACAAAAAAAATTGGTAATATATATTAAATTGGACCTATTTTTGCTTGATTTATTTAGGTCATGACTTACACAGATTTAAGTCAGACTAGCCCATAGATTTATGAGCTGTCTTGTTTTATAGACTAATGATTATTTTTTAAATAAAAGTATAAATAATATTAAAAAAATGTATTATAAATTAATTTGACAAGAGATTCACTTATTTTAAGAATAAATATTAAAGTAATTTTCTAACAACCACTTATTACAAGATCTAATTTACAAGGTCTAATAATTAATATTAATTACTATTTTAAATTAATAAAAAATAAATTCACTTATTCTAAGATCTAATGATTAAAATTAATTATTATTTTAAATTAATAAATTACTAAAAAATAAATAATGATGACAAAGAATAAGTTTTTAATTATTGTATTGTGATTAAATGTATGCATTCTTTTATCATTTATATATTAAATCATTATATCTTTAGTAAAATTATATTTATATATTAAATCATTATATCTTTAATAAAAACTAATTTTACTAATGAAATATAGATTTTAAAAATATATTTTTTTATTCAGATATTTCTTTAATTAATTGATTTGATATATATATATATATATATATATATATATATATATATAATTTCAATAAGACAAAAGTTAGATCATTAGTCGGATTTCTTAACATAAGTTTAGGTTAAGCTAAATTTTTTGATCAATTTTAAAATATAGGTAAGATAAGACTATTAATTTTTTTATTTATTTAACATGTAGGGACATGTTAGATTGAGTTGGATCACCTATTTTGATCTATCTAATTCTTAATCAATGTAATACCTAATAACTCAAATCTTTAAGAGGATACACTTGTATTACTTGTTTTTAATTAAAAAATTTACAATACATAACTAAATTTATAAACTTAAAATTTATAAATAATTTAAAAAATATCTATACCATGAATGTAAAGTATATTATAGTGGTTGTTGTTGATATTTGTTAAACCATAGAAAGTTTGACGTTTGTGTAGTTTGAAATGAATTGAAAAGAAAAAAAAAAAAAGTAGCCGCCACTAGATGGAGGGACATGTGCACTAGTTAATGTAATTTATGTATGGGTTTTGGCAAGTACTCAAAGTAAACAATTATAAAACTACGAAACCTATATGAAATAAGGCAATGGATGCCATTTTGGAGTCATAGACATGTATTAAGTGGGTACATAATAATCATTATACTTCACATTACACTCATATATTGTACATAATTGTGAAATAGTAAACACATTTTTAAATATTCAAGTATAGAACTTTGGTACATTTTTAAGTGGTATCTTTTATGTATGTTTACATTTTGTCTCTATTCTATTTATTTCTAAGATTTTTTTTCTTTGTATTCGTTATTTTGTTTAAATAGACAACTTAATATTTCCCTTCATTGTTATACCTTTTTTTTGTTCCTCTTGTAATGTTTCACTCTTGTTGTTAATAACTTGTGTATAAGTGTAATTTTTTCATTTGAAGGAGTTATATTTAACTATTTTTTAATATTAAAAATGAGTTAATATTATTAATGCATTTCAACTATTGTCTTTTATTTATATTTTATACTCTAGCATTTCAAATCCTCATCTTTCATTTTGTTTCACACTCTATTGTTCATGTTTTAAATCTTACCTTTTTCGATTTTTTATGCTATTCGCATTTACCTCCAAGTAATACCCTAAAAACACTTTTGCATTTGCATATACACGCAATTAAACCCCGAAATCAAAGTCAAAAGGATTTTTTATGTCAAAAGATGGAAAGAATACTCCTTTAATTTATATATACACTAGAGAAATTATATGTAATTTTTTTTAAATATTATGATTATTTTAAAAAATTATACATCCTCACACTTTAAATAATTTTTATTTTGATGATGAACAATAAATATATTATATTTATTGTTCTACTTCATTATTTTCTACTTTGGAGACTTATTTCTACTTCATTCTTCTATAAAATTTTCACTTTTATTTTTCAAAATTTTATTAAAATAAATTTGGATTTTTCTTCTTTTGCTTGGCCGTGAACCAAACATGTTAAGCAATCCAACGTTAGTAGGTAATTTAGTATATAATAAAAGCAAAAGCAGACAAATCATTTCTCAAAATTTGCCGCTTTGGCATGTTCTTTTTCTCTTTTTCTTTCCCTCCACATCCCACTAGGAGCAAGCGGTTATAAAGTTCGCCTCTGTAGCGCACGTCTTATCCTTTGCACCCCCAAACCCATTGAACCAAAACAGAACGCTCCAACTTGAACTTGGCTACTACTCCATTGTAACTGAACTTTCTCTGAGGTACTCTCATCAACTCTTACAAATTCTTCCTATGTTTTTGCTTCTCTTTCATCTTCACTCCGCAATTTCCGTTTTCATCCTCAGTGTTTTGAAATTCCCTCAAAACCCTAATATCATATACGGAGTTGACTTCATTTGAATTTCCCCGTTATTCTACTTGACTTCGCTGCTAACACGTGAAAGGCACTCTTCATACCCCGTTTTGACCTAGATTGTTCATCGCAATAGTGTTTTTTCTGGTTTTAAAGCCAAATTGTACTGATTTTGAAACTCCTTTGAACCAATACGTGTGGAAAATTCGGTCTTTTCATCTCTGACTCTGCAATAGCCACAGTAACCTACTCTGAATATGCTCACTTATATTTATTTTGAATGCTATTGAGATATATAGTAGTACTTCTTCTATTGGCACTGAAAAATTCTTCTAAACCTTATTATATTATCTTGTCTTCTGTTTTACAAAATACACCGTTGCTGTGACTTGATGGAACATGTACAGTACTTTGAGTTGTGTTTGTAATGTGATCATGCTCATGGTATGTTTTTAATTTGGTCCTGTAGGTACGGGTATTGGTACGGTTATGATACTTTCAACATGTACATCAAGCAGGTAATTTCGTTTTGGAGGGTGTTTATATATTTAATTTTTGTTACGTTTCGTGGTTACCTAAATTGTCAGATTTGACTAGATTGTGTTTTTGTATTGTGATTCATAAACATTTCCTCTATCACAGATACCATATAATTTGTTGTTATATAATTTTTTTTGGCGTTTTTCACTTACCAAATGGTTTTCTGATGTATTTGTTTGTTTATGATTTTAGGTTGTGATTGAAGGTTTTAAGAGTTATAGAGAGCAAGTTGCCACAGAGCCTTTCAGTTCTAAAGTGAATTGTGTTGGTAATAATTTTAATGACAAGTTTTTAGATGCTTTCTTCTCGACACTGGAAAATTCTTCAACATGCATGATGTGGGTATTTCATTGATGACATCTTACGATGGCAGTGAAATGAAATATGAAAAATGAGGCAATATAAACTAAGTTGTTTAGTCAATTTTTTTGTTTTTGAATTCAGATATATTTGGTTAGACTAAATAATAAGTTAGATATTATAATGCTTTCATAATAATAATTCATGTTTATCCTCAACATCTGTAAATCATTTTTCGTTGCAAATATACATATAATATCTAAGAAAGAAAATGATAGAATGATATTTTACAAAAAAAGTTCGTTTTTTGTTCTTTTCATCTTATAAAAAATTATTATTGATCTCAAGTTGTAGAAAAATTGTATCATTGGGTTATTGAATTATTAATATATGTTATCTTTTTAACTATAGGTAATATATCACTAATATTGTCATGAAAGACTTCACTCATGAAAGAAGAGTAAAGATATGTAAAGAAAATTTTAATTGTAAAACTAGATTGCTTTCTCACATCAATCTAAAGGCTGCATACATTGTTTTGGTATAACTGCATTCTTTTCTCACTACATTTTCATGTTCATTACTTCCTTAGTTCTTTCCACCCTTACCCATCATTGCTTTTTTAAGAGGTTCATCTTTTCTTTTGAATAGATGAACGTACCTAAATTGTATTTATTTGTAATCAAACATATCTGTTTTATTATTTAATTTTGCAGTTGGTGCTAATGGATCTGGGAAGACAAACTTTTTTCATGGTAAGAAAATGATCATCATTTCATCTGAGTACAATTTGGAAGTAATGGGAATCAAATCTCTCAATATCAATTTGCTACACTTTTTTCTTTTGTAGCCATTCGTTTTGTGTTAAGCGATCTCTTTCAAAATCTACGAGGTGAAGATAGACAGGCACTCCTCCATGTACGAGACAGTTCATCAATTTATTTATGCTTGTATACTTGTACTTGTCACTTATAATTAATCAGTTATAGATGCTGAACATGCTTCAATAAATTATTTTCTGTGTCCAGGAAGGAGCTGGACACCAGGTTTTATCTGCATTTGTGGAGATTGTTTTTGATAATTCAGACAACCGGATCCCGGTAATATGTTGAGATAATAACTTTTGCACGTTGTGATATCATTACTATGATTTCATAGTTATTTGAGAAAGTACATTCTCAAATTCATTTATTCAGTTATGCACAATCGTATATTTTATTTAAAAACAAAAAAAAATGTTATTATTTTCTGTTTGTATTCTATTTGCATGATTAACATGACATTAAAAATTTGATTTGATTTGATTTGATTGATTTTTTTTTTTTTAAATTTTAGTTATATACTGAATATTGTTATAGGAAGAGACATTGATTCTTTCTTATTAGTTCTCATTAGTTCATAACCAATTTTAATAGTAATTCTATCATTCTCGTTACCTATGTTACCATCATCATCCAGGAATAGTTGAAGGTAATGTACATAAATCAAATATTCAATCCTTTTTGGATCCATTTTGTTTCTCTTCAAAGCATAAATGAATAAAGGATCCTCTTACCACATAAAATGAGGAAGAATGTTATTGTTTAAGCAGTTTTAAGGAAGCTTTTCTGATTACTATTGAGATGTATCCAACTCATATCCTAGAAAAAAAATAAAATAAAAAGTTTGGATACTTCTCATGTATGCATGCTCAATACAGATAGGAGTTTTTGGGCATGTACAGGAAGGAATTTGTAGGCATATAAAAGATTATAATAACAGATAAAGTTGTATTAAACTGAATCAAGACTTGATAAGTAGAAGTATAGTTTTTTTTTCCTCCATACATTTTAGACCGTTTTTAATTTATTTGTTTTCTATTTTGAATAAACTTATCATTTCATTTATGAAAATCTTTGGCATTGATGGTGTGCATTTTGTGCTAGCTGAGAAGTATTCTGATTAATGATGATGTGTTTAGAAGTGTCTCGGTTTCACTGAACTTCTACTTTACAATTTCAAATTTAATAATTTTGTTCAAGTTGACTGCAAGATTTGTTATTGTTTGTTGATGTAATTAATAATTGCTTTGCTTCAGAATTGATTTCTTTTTACTTTCTTTATCAGCACAAAAGTGCTTTATTGTGTGTGAATAGTGCTTTTTGTTTGATAACATATGCACTATCTTAGCACCTATCCATATTGGTGAACAGGTTGATAAGGAGGAAGTTCGACTGCGCCGGACTATAGGTTTAAAAAAGGATGAATATTTTCTAGATGGAAAACACATAACGTGAGTGAAATAGAATAAAATACAAGTACTTTGCTTTTATTTTTCATTTTCAGTATAAAGAAAAACAACATATTAACTTATGCTGTTTGGTCATATGAGTATTTTCCTTGGTTCTAAACATCATGTACTATCTACAGGAAAACTGAAGTGATGAATTTGCTGGAGAGTGCTGGGTTCTCCCGATCAAATCCTTATTATGTTGTACAACAAGGAAAGGTATTGGCTCTTGGTGACAGTACTTGAATTTGGTTTTGGGTTTATTCTTTGTATATTCATACACTTTGAATTTGATTTCCAAACTTGTTCCATTTCTACTATTGCATAGATAGCATCATTAACTTTGATGAAAGACTCTGAACGACTGGACTTGCTGAAGGAAATAGGTGGTACTAGAGTTTATGAGGAGCGGCGCCGTGAAAGTTTGAAAATAATGCAGGAAACTGGCAAGTTTATGATTTATTTATTTTTAAGTTCATGATTTATCTAGTCTTTACTATTTATTTATTATTCATTTTTTGAGTTCATGATTATTAATCTATGTATAATAATAAGGTTATTCTTCTAAAATTACCACATGCACTTTCTCATAATTTTATTTTTTTAATATATTACTTCATTATTTTCATTACATTTAAGAAATACATTATTATTTTTAATAAAAATATCGCGCGCACACACACACACACACACACACATATATATATATATATATATATATATATATATATCTTAAATAAAGAACAATAAAAATATGTATTAACTTGCTGTTGAATTATACTTGAAAGTCCTGACAAAAATATTATTTGAAAAATATTTGTTTAATTTATTCTTTATAATTTTATTAATAATACTTAATATTTGTGAATATGAATAATATTATTGTATTTAAGTACAAATTCTTATAGTTTCTATAAAAGAATTTGAGATTTTATTTTTATTATACTTGATATATTTCTATATTAGTAATGCATTTTTGATTTTATAGATACTAGCATTAACAAAAGAAACATACTTTTTTAAATATATGTTAATTTAATAAGAGAATTTGCTTAATATAATATTAGTTTCTTTTTTATGTAGTTTTCAATTTTATGACAAACTATTTATTTTATTGGAATTAAGTTTATATATATATATATATATATATATATATATATATATATTGAAACAACTCAAAACTGGTATAGTTTAAGTGATGGAAGTTAACTAAACTAATAGTTGCGTTTGAATGTAGTCAAAATTTTCTAACTTTGAGTTTAAAAATAATTGTTATTATAATGTTTATAAATATTGATTAATCAAATGAATTATTGTAAAATAATTTTTTGTTAATTTTTTGGAGTTAAATTGATTATGATAAAAGAATCAATGACGTAATTTAATAAATTTTATTAATAATTATTTGAATAACCTCGCTACAAATAAATAAATGAATATATTTGTGGGTTTAAAATATCCTGTTGGAATGAGAGTAAAAGAGATTGTATAGGCCTTCAAATTCTTACTTTTATTTTTCTTATCTATGAAATTAAATTTAGATTAAGTTTGACTAGATTTAGTAGTTCTTTTACTAAATATGTTGGGAAAGAATTCTTCGATTCTTTAGGGTTGGCAAATATGATTTTTTTTAATGAATCATTTCATATATATCTATGTCTGTGATTAACATAATATGAAATATACTGTGAGTTATAAATAAACCTTTTAAACATGACTTAATACTTTAACTTTATTTTAAAAGATTGAAATGTTAATTTATTATTTGCCTGATAGTTATATATATGAAAAGCAAATAACTAATTCATCAAGATGAATAGAAGTGGGCTAAGTTAGTTTTTTTTAATTAACAAGTAACATATTTTCAATTATAGTGTTTATTATTCTCTTGCATTTTACAGGTAATAAGAGAAAACAAATAATACAAGTTGTCCAGTATTTAGATGAAAGGCTGAAGGAACTAGATGAGGAAAAGGAGGAACTTAGGAAATATCAACAGCTCGACAAACAAAGAAAATCTTTAGAATATGCTATTTATAGCAAAGAAGTTCAAGACGCCCAGCAAAAGCTTACTGAGGTTACGTGATATAATGTTATCTCTCATATACTTATTTTCATGGCACAATTTATGACATAATTGTAAATAGATCGCTTGAATGTAAAGTGAAATAATGATATTACTGAATAGGAACTAGATCATGTAGAATTTTTAATGTATTTGATATTACAAAGTAACAAATTCATGATGATTTGTAACTTTAAATATGCCAGGTCATGGGAGACTACTAAAAATATTTATGTTTAAAGCAAGTTAGGTATGATGATTCGAAGCTTTAATACTAAGCACAATTTCCATACAAAAACTCAACAAATATAATATACTTAGCTGATTATAAAGCAAAATGTGTACCATTTTATTTACAATTTTATAGCTCGTTCTTGTTTACATGTAAGGTGAAACAGTTGTTACTCTTTATTTTCCTTCCATTTTTATTTTATTTCCAACACTACAAATTGTTACTGGAAGTTTTAAACATATTTTATTTAGAAATGGAAATTCCTCATTGTCAAATTAGTAAATTGCCTGCAATAGTGGTACTATGGTACTGTGGTGAACACTTTTGAAACTAGAAAGAGACTAAGGTTATTCTTTTTGGTAAGAAGAGTGTTTGGCCTGGCAACCACCTGATGCCTATAATTGAATGTTTGTCACCTTGTTTTAGATAGAAGATGTTCGGGCCAGGGTTTCTGAAACATCAGCAAAGAAGTATAATGATGTTCTTGATGCACATGAGAAATCCAAAGATTTGGAGAATACATTAAAAGATGTATCAAAAGAACTTCAAAACTTTAACAAAGAGAAAGAGGCTATTGAAAAGCGACGAACAGTGGCATTAAAGAAGCACACAGAGCTTGAGCTTGATGTCAAAGACTTGCAAGAGAAGATCTCTGGAAACATCAAAGCCAAGGTGTACTTATTTGAAGACCTTTTATGAGTTGTCTTGAAGGGATTGTTGTGTCATGGCTCATCTTTTAGCTACATGCTTTCAGGAAGATGCTGCAAGACAACTGGAGATACTTGAGAAAGAAATTCAAGACTCAACAGTTGAACTGGGCAAAATCATTCCTTTACATGAGGATCAAGTTCAGAAAGAAAAAGACATTGCCATGCGGTATGTTATGTTGTACTTGTCTTTTATAGGCTTGAATAAGTGTACTGTATCTAACTCACCTAACTTATATTTCTCACTTTCTGACATGGTGATTATGCATTTTCATGCACTCTATTATACTGGATTAATCTTATTTTTTTAGTGTCTCATTTAGCTAGAAATTTGGATTAGATAAGATATAGGATGGTGAAATATAATAGTAAAACCCATTTGAAGAAGGCATGGACAGGGCACGAACAAGAGAGAAAAGGTACAAGTTAGAACAGAGATTATATAGCCAGTTGTCACCTCCCAGCTACCTAGGCTTAACTCACTTAAACTAAGTACAATATTTACACACTACAATTCGTAAATATAGTATTACATGTTCACAGTTAGTATGCATACTGGCACAAATTTAATGCTTGGAATTTCTTCTATCATTTTTTGAGGATATTCAACGGATTCTAATCAGTATTCCTCTCAAATAAATGCATTGTTAAATAAATGCATTGTTAGAATAATGGAGCGTGAAAAGAAACTCAGTATACTTTATCAAAAACAAGGACGTGCAACCCAGTTTTCAAGTAAAGCTGCTCGCGATAAGTGGCTTCAAAAAGAGATTGATGATCTTGAACGGGTGCATTCTTCAAATAAGGGGCAGGCAAGTGTTCATTTATCTGTATGAGCTGTAATGAATTTTGTCCTAAATACAATTTTGACAGATTCATGGCATGATGATGTCTGCTTTTTTAATCTTGATTTCTATTAATTTTAAGTGAACCAAATCATTTTTCTACTCTGTTTTGTACGTTATTTTTAATGTTTTTCTGCTTACCATATTAAGTGCATGTCTATTTGGGAGAATAATCACTTACGTTTGCCAACTTCCTTAAATAGTTTTTGATAACAAGGTGATTGATTATTTATGGGGAATAGTAATTTTTTAGATATAGTGTTTTAATAGAGAATAAAATAAAAAAACATCAGAGACCCCCCATTGAAGAAAGAACGTGAGAGTTTACTTAATGTTAAAAAAATATTAAAATAACAATAAATAACGTAATAATCCTACATTTCAATTCCATAATAAAGCAAAACTGCAAAATATATTGCGAGAACCACATTGGTGTATTATTTAGTTTATTATACGTTTTTATTTTTTATGTAGTATATAATTTGTTTTAGTTAATTGTTATTTAGCTATTACATTATATGCTATCTTTTGAATATTTAAATACTATTATATATATATATATTTTTTTTTTTTTTCTTCTTTTTTAATTTATCATATTATTTTTATTAATTATATAATAAATAACAATTGTTAATTAACAAGTGAAAAATTCATCCATACTTTTTTGGTTCAACAAACTCACCAAGAAATGTTGGACTCAAATAGGCTACTAGCTGAGGCTGAACAAAAAAAGAGAAGGAAAACGCACCCTAACCCAAACTAGGACCTGATTCACTAGTTTCCCACGACTTCTCTGTTAGCGAGTGCCACAATAGAGACCCGTAACAGAAGAAGACTGGTCTAAGTATTTGGCTTGGGTTCAATGTGAAAAAAGTTTACAGTGGCCATGAAATGTGCTTTTAAAGCATGATTTTGCATGATCTCTATTTGAGGCATGATTACTGTGGGAAAGTGCTATTCTACTCCTCACCTCTGTGATCGACATCTATGGAACAGAGTTTGAACGGGTTTGCTCTTGATATTGATAAACCATGATTACCACTACAAAATCAATATTATCTAAGCTTGTGATTCTTGCTGCACTTCCTATCTAAGGAAACCATATAATTTTGTTGTCTGAAGTGCCAAGCACCATGATGAAAGACTTTTTTTTTTTCCTCGGCAGATTTGGCCAATACTTTATTTAAGTTGTGTTACTTATTTTTTATAATATCTTCAATAACTATGCTTAATTACAAAATTGGGCTTCCTTCAAAACACTCCAGCTCAATTTAGTCTTGCTGTTGCTTGTTGAAAGCTGCTTGTATATGCTCCATCTTGAGGGGAAGTGCTAGAAATATGATTTGATTACATCAAATATGAAAATATCTCAGCAGATTATCATCACTATTAGGTATTGATTTTGCTCTCTATTACTGTATCTCTTATTCATCATAAATAGGAATCCTGTTTGTCAATCATCATGCTTATCAAGCCACATGGTGCTCAACCTGTTAATCTTGGTATATGAATATTCTGAGTGTAGAAATTTGATATGATCTGTGATCTTTGTCATGTTTTCCAATATTTCTTTTTGTATTTTCAAATTTGAATAATTATTTTTATCTTCTGTTGTATGAACATTGATATTTTGTACTATGCTCTCTTGTTTTAATTGCTGTTTTGGTCTGGCAGGAGCAAAAGCTTTTGGATGAAATTGATCGGCTTAAAGAAGAACTGCATGATTGTGATGAGAATATAAATAGACGTAAAGCAGATATTACTACTTTGGAATCTCTCATTACTCAGTCATGTGAAGGGCTTAATCATTACAAATTAGAGAGAGACAAGTTAACTCTCGAGAGGAAGTATGTAAAACTCCTCTTTTTGTCATTTTTTTTGTTAAATTTCTATTAATACATATTCCGAGATGAAGGAAGAATCAGGTTTAATCAAGAATGAGGACACCGAAAGTGTAGGATTTGTTCCCTCTTTACCCAAAGCAGAAAGGAGAAACATAATAAACTGCCTAAGTATGTTATTTATCAATCAGATATTGCTAATGAGTTTAAATTGTTACATTATAGGTCCCTATGGACAAAAGAGAATGAAATTATTGCTGAAATTGATAAGCTGAGAGCAGAAGTTGAGAAGGCTGAAAAGAATCTTGATCATGCAATTCCTGGTGTGAGTAATCCTCTTTCTAGCTTCTTTAACATCCCTTTTGTAAAGTCCGTTAAATTATTAAGAATCCTCAACATGGTGTTTACATTCATTATGTCTTTCACTATTTTTGTGGGCTTGTACAGTGTAGAGTTTTATTTTAACTTATCCTACCGGATGTGAATTAACACAAAGTGTCATCGCATTTGTAAATGGATGTCACTCTAAAAGTATATGGATGATTTTTGACTTTGGGTTTTGCGGCTTTTCACATTTTTTATGCAGCATATGGATGAAGGAAACTGCAAAACACTTTACTTCCAGAAATTATATTACACTTAAAATGATAGAAGGCATAAAATGATTCTGTTCTGTTGGGAAGCACTTCTAATTTTTGATTTGGTAACTGAGTTTAGTAATTGCTGGTCTTCCTACCATTTAGTACAGTGCTAAAATGTGACAAGGTTGCAATTTGTGTGAGGAAGTGAATGTCGATTAAGGAGTTTCAGATATAATTGAGATTGAATCTCTACGACAGAGATTATAAAAGAACAGAATCCGACTTTACTATTCTGTTAGATCTAGCTAACTAACTACGGCCAGGTAACTGAATATGAGAACACAGTTTAGATGTGCATAATACTTGCCACCACTCTAATAAAATTAATCTATCAAGTAAAAAGTTTGACATTAGTGCTAGTTAAAGATGTAATTTATTCTGGTTCTGATTCTGAGCATGGTTTTTTTGGTGTTTTTTAATAGATGCATATCTCTGCAATAGTTTATGATTTGTGCATCAGTTTTTAAATGCTAAATATAATTTGAACGATGGATATGTGAATAAAGTGTGAGATATTTAGGAATGACAATGACCTGATTTATATTTGCTAAAATTATTCATGATTGGTAGGGTAATCCACTTAATGGGCATGGGCACGAGTAACCATCTTAATGGAAGACACAATGGAATTTGACAAATTTGGCATAATATATTTTGACCCATGCATAACATCATAGAGGTTCTATAGATATGACATTTTTCAAGTCATTTTTATGGACAAGATCTCCATTTTTAATTTTTTTGGATGGTAAAATATTCTCAAAAAACATGGTGTGTGAATCCAACCCATGTTTGAATTGAAAATGAGTTACTGATACAATTTCTTCCCTTTTGAATCAGGTTTATTCATACATGAAAGAGGTTGTGAATGAACATGATTTTGAGGAATTGATCATATGTAAAATTATGATTATTGACATGAAAAGGAATCTTTTGTCACACTAGAAACATAAGTGATAATGATTATTTAAGAATCTTGCTTTATAAGAAATGTATATCAATTGACGTTTATGAAATGGTTTATTCAACCAATGGATTGAGGAGTGTCATTGAGATATCGGAATCTATTATCAAGTTGTGATTCTTTCTAGTATGAAATTAGTCAATCATCCACTCTGTTATTTTATCCAACAACAATGGTCATAATCCACCAGTGATCAAGAATTTGATTTTTTAGGATGTGTTGGTCATCCAAAAATAAGGGTTTCAATCTTTTCAAATGAAAGATATTGATCATAATAATTGATTATAGAGTGGATAATTCAGACCTTTCAATTTGTAGATGTGGCCTCAAATGTAAGAAAGATATTAGAATGTGAAACAAGTTGGGATAGAGGGACTTGAACCCTCATGATCTCTTAAGTTGATGAATTTTCTTTTTACTTTAAATTCATTGTTTTCGGTTTTGACATGCAAAATTGGGCTGTATATTTATTCTCTTTGATTGATTAGTTCTTCAAGGGTTTTATTAGATTATGAGGAATTGAATAATTTCATCAACAAATATTCCATCTTTTCTTTAACCTTGAATTGATTTGAGTCCATCTTGCATTTTTGAATATTTGTTTACAAGTGATAAGGTGTTGGTTTGGGCACTTTTGTACCATGCTGCCCCTTCCCCCAACATTTGGGTGTGGATAGATATACAGTCATAATCTAATAATAAATTAAAAAAATAAGAACTTGTAGCCCCAACTTAAACTTTCTCTGTGATTGCATGAGACATGGGTTACAAACACAAGTTTATGGTTTGTTGCATCACAGTTGTACAGTTGTTCAATTGGATTTGAATGTTTATAAATGTGTTATTGTGAAAGTGTATTGTAACACTGTAATTATGTTTGTAAAGTTTATAAAAGAATATTTGTTTGACTATTCTGTCGTAGTTAATTGCAATGTGGGTAACATAAAAATATGGGTACTTTAGATATCTAACCGGTTAGGGGTCTGGTGATTAAAATTGTTATCCACACCACTATGAGTCCAAGTCTGGGTATATACATCGTTGGAGACTAATGATATGACTAAATTATAGCATATAAGTGGGTTGTAATCCTTATCTTACAAGCTGGTTTTCTAGGATTGAGTTAATCCCAAATCCACTTTCCCATATAGTACCAAATCCTATTTTAGAGAATTTTGTTGGGTTTATTGTGATACCTGTTATTGGACTGTTACCGAACCATGAGGAGGTGTGATGGAGATCTTACATTAACTAAAGATATGGGTTAAATTATAGTATATAAATCTTCACTTTCCAAAATAATTTTGCAGTGTTGAATTAGGTCCAAATCCACTTTCTAATATACATGTGTGTGTGTGTGTGTATATATATATATATTTTTTATTTTTTTTGCATATGGTAATGGGTAATTACATCTTATGCTGTTGTTTATCAGTTGAATTTGAGGGTTAACTGTCATGATGCTTGACTCTATTATGTTGTTCAGGATGTGAGAAGAGGTTTGAATTCTGTGAGAAAGATCTGCAGGGAGTATAACATTTCTGGAGTTCATGGTCCAATTATTGAGTTGCTGAATTGTGACGAAAAGTTTTTCACTGCTGTTGAAGTTACAGCAGGAAACAGGTCATTTCTCACTGATGTTTCTTGTTATACCACTTGTTGCATTGAGCATATTATACTATATTTCTTTGGGCATAGGGGTGACTCATCTCTAGCATGTAGTTGTTCAATCTTTTTATTTTTAGTCCTTTATTCTTGGGATAATTTCTTAACTGGTTTTATATTTTTGTACATTTGTCTTAATGTTTTTATTAAACATCCTTGTTTGAACAGCTTATTTCATGTTGTTGTTGAAAATGATGACAAGTCAACCCAGATAATTAGACATCTTAATTCACAGAAAGGTGGTCGAGTTACATTCATTCCGCTCAACAGAGTAAAGGCACCACGCATCACTTATCCACAGACTTCAGATGTCATACCTCTTTTGAAGAAGTTGAATTTTAAACAAGACTATACTCCTGCATTCAGTCAGGTTAGGTTCTAAAAAAATGTTACCTTCTATTTAACACTGGCATGTTTTGGTCTATCAAATGTCAACTTGACATGAAAAAGTTGATGCATAATATGTTAATTAGAGTAATTATGTTATTTTAAGTATTATTTTTTATTGTGTAAAGATTATTATTACGTTTTTATCAAAAGTAATTTTAACATTTTCTCTTATTTAATAGATCTCCTCTGTTGAGAATTTTCTCTTCAATAAGTTATATGCTCTTAGCCTCCTAGGAGAACATTTATCATGTTAGGATTTCAAATATAATTTGGTTTCATTAGGATATTATGTTTTAAGAAACTATTTTTTTGATTGGGATTGTCTTGAATTTTTATTATCTATGGGTTTTACGCGTCATGGTTATTCTCTTAATGAGTTGATTGTCAAGGATTGTGTTTTGGAATTGTGAGAATTTGTGGTAGTTGGGAGTTGGTACTGGAAACCCTGAAACTAACTGGTTCTTTTTGTACTCCATTCAACATTAAAATATGAAGGTTTGTGAATTAATTTTCTTGTTACAATGAACTTTGTTCAATATTGTTTGTGAGTTTAAATTTCCCTTCTATAGTTTGTGTTGTTTATTGTTCTTAAAGTTCATTTAACTTTTTTTTTTTTTTTTCTGATAAACAAACAAACAAATCTTTGAGATTGAAAAAGAAGATAAAGTATTTTGAATCCTTAAGAACTAAAGATGACCCAACCAAAAACAAGCCGGACAAAAATAAAACAAACATCAAGAACATGCAACACAATATGTCAATCTCTCTGCTGGCCCAAGGCCCCTGTTTGCTGAAAAAGAGCATGAACATAACACCACAAAGAAGCTAGAAAACTACTCATCTTACAAGCTGAATTTATGAAATTGAATTAGGTGTTAAATCTAAAATTCTAAGGTTAACAAGTCTTATAAGGATTATATTGACTATATTTCTAGTTGACATAAGATCTTTAACAGATATTTTCATGCCTATGATGGAACATTTGAAGCAAAGAGATGACCCAATAACTATGCCCTTAATCTTAGAAATTGAAATTTAAAGCATAAACAAATATCGGTGTGTCCATTACTGGATATAAGCTATGTTACCATTAGTGGCCTGAGTGACCACTATGGCAGTAGAGCAGGGCAGAGCAGCTTTGAGGTACAACACATACTTCGTGGCATTGCAATTTGTAGTCGTGGTTGGGGCAGCAGTAATAGTGGCAGAGTGGGACTGTCACAATCACATTCTGGGATATTTTATCATTGTGGTCATGAAGCCCAACTGAAAACTGAAGCACAGTACACTCCACGACCTCGATTACGCTCATTTGTGTTCTGGTGCTTACTAACAAACTGCTGGATTATGGGTCCTTAGGGTTTCAGGATTTAGTTTTCGCATTTTTCATTTCTTGGTTTCAATTTGAGTCCGGCATTATATTTTTATATGCTTTGCTTTTCAACATATATTATGTGAAAAATTATTTATAGTATAATATAATGCACTAAATGGTAATATTAATAAATATAACAGTATTAAAATATATAATAATTTACTTAAATCATTACATCTAATATAATAATTAAATCATTGAAATAAACTAAATAAAGCATAACATAAGATATAATATATTAAAAATAATATATAATAAAACATAATAAACAAACTAATTGTAGTAATAAATGCTAAACTAAACATACTATATAATATGATATTATTAAACAATACATGTTGTTATATAATACAAACTGTGTTCTTGTAAAAAACTTAATATATATTAAAAAATTACAACAACAAACATCCTGCTATCTCTAATCCCACTTTTGGGTTTAGCACTACTATTGATATAAAATAGACATTGATATCATTAAAATTTAGGTTTAAGGCTTAAGTCCCTTGAAATGCAACATAAACGGTGAAGACTACTCAGGCCTTATAAGGATTACATTATCCATATCCTTTATTAATGTGTGATCTTATTTGGGGTTTTAGGACAGAACTTTGCTTTGTGCACCTTGTTGTGGCAACTGGCCAAATCACCTGCTCATGTGGATTTGACTCTTGTCCTAATGGACTCCTTTGCCTTTATTACATTGTGTAACTACTTTGAACTATTTTGGATGGAATAGGTTTCTCAAAGAACAAAGGTTTTCCGAAGTTGCAGAAATGAGAATCATTTGTGATAATCAAGCTACCCTACATATTTCCTTAAGCCCAATATTTCATGAGTGGACGAAACACGTTGTGATAAAATATCATTGTGGAAAAATTCTTAACTGGGTACCTGATTGCTAGGTTTGTCAGTTCAAATTATCACTAGTAAATGTTCTCACAAAGCTGTGGAGAGGTCTTTGCATTAGTTATATTTTTAATAAGCTTGCTATTCTTACAATTTATATGTTTCAACCTAACGGAGTGGTAGAGATTGTCTAAATATTATAAAATAAATATTGAGATATTATGAATTATATGTGGTTGTGTAAATTATTGTAACTGTTATTCATTGTATTTATGACTCGTATAGTCATATTATAAATAAGAGCCTCCGCGCGTAAATTAGAAGTAGAATTCATCACATGTCCATTGCTATTTTTATTCCTTTTAACAGTTTCAATAACACAACACAAGCATCTAGTGCCCATGTCTTAACTGTGAACCTGCTTTAGGTTGTTTGTACTGATTCCAATTATGCTTCAATCAGACTCATCTCTTCACCTTTATTTTAAGATTTTCACTAGTTAACACACTGTTTGGGTATTTACTAGATTCATACGGTCCTGTATTTAAATGAAAATTCGAAGGTAATATTGTGTTGATTTCAAAACTAGGGGGAGAGCTGAGTAATGTTCAAATTCAAATATCTCGGTGGAGCACACTTGAAAAATCTTTATGTAAACATTGTAATTAATAATAATTGATCTTTGAGTATTGACAAGCAAATATGGAAACATGTAAATTTTCAATATCTTTTTAGTGAAACTGGGGTATCTTTGTCCCAGAGCCAGTTACCAATCCTTTGATATACTGAGATCCATCTAAGGGATTGATATCTCCCTACATATGTTTTAGTAAATAATATATTTTAATGGTCACTCTCCTATCTCTGCCTTTGGTACTTTTGTTTTTGCAAAATGATGTCTGGGTAAATTAAACTTATGCTTATGAATTAGACAAATCATTTATGTTGAAGACGTTTATAGAAAATTGTTTTGGGAGATTTATTGAATGGGATTGTCACAGAAGGTAATATTGTTTTCATTGTTGTTTCCAAAAGGAATCTTGATGTCCCTTAACATCACGTGTGATATTTCTTATAGGTATTTGCTAGAACAGTTATCTGCAAGAATTTGGATGTGGCTTCAAGGGTTGCTCGTACTGATGGTCTGGACTGCATAACACTGGATGGTTGGCCTACTTCTTTTCATTGTCTGTCTTCTTTACTTGGGCTGGTCTAGAGTTTTTCCCTTACAAATGGAATGGACTTATGACAGGGGATCAAGTAAGCAAGAAAGGTAGTATGACTGGAGGATTTTATGATCACCGTCGATCGAGATTGAGGTTTATGAATATCATTAAGCAGAATGCAGACACCATTCACAGTAGAGAGGAGGAATTGGAGAAAGTTAGATTTAATCTACAAGATATCCTTTATGTTACTAAACTAACATTTTTTTTTTGTAATTCTTTTTTCTCTTAGGTGAGAACTCATTCTTTATAAAATGCATATTAAAAGAATGATGAAATGAAGGAATGAAAGTCTAGATGATCCGTTTACCTGATCAAATTTAGGTTGGTAAAAATAGCTTGCATTATTCAGTTTATGTAATAATGCATGTTTCTCTTATTAATTGCATCTTTACCAATGTAATTTTATACGATTTGCTGGTTATTTATTCTTTTTTTGTTGGGGCATATCATATTCATGTTGACGCCTTAGGAGATATTTTAAAGGGCAAGGGGGATTGCTTCATAAAGTTGTTTTGCTAGAAATTTGTCAAGCTTAGGTGAAAGATAATGCGATTCTCTACCTGGGTTTTATCGCACCATGGTTGTTTCTTTAGCCATTATTGACATCCAGTGTTTCTTTGGGACCCTATTATCTACGAAATTCTTTTGTTTATTTATTTATTTTTTAATTTTTTAATTTATTGATGATGATTAGTTTTCCTTTAGATAACGTATTTGCTTCATCTTATGCTAAAAGTTTTGTAAGATAGCCTCAATTTGTTTTTGTCCAGACAACATGAAATGTCATATATCTTTATTTTGTGAATGACTTCGATGATGCCTAAGCCATTCCTTGTCATGAAACAATTTCCTTCCATGGTTGTTTTCTCTGAGTTAGTCTTACAGATAGACCAAAAGATTAGTGAACTTGTTGCTGAGCAGCAGAAGATTGATGCCAAACGTGCTCATGACAAATCTGAGATAGAACAGCTTAAGCAGGATATTGCTAATGCTAATAAGCAGAAGCAGTTGATTTCTAAAGCACTTACAAAAAAGGTGTTGTGGAATTTCTGAATTGTACTTAATTATTGTCTGGGAGATACTTTTCAGTGGTTAGTTGGATTGTGGAATTCTTCACTATTTGTTTTACCTTTATCCTTAATTGCTTGTAGGAGAAATCTGTTGGGGATGTCCAGAATCAGATTGAACAACTTAAGGCTAGTATCGCAATGAAAAATGCTGAGATGGGCACTGAGCTAATTGATCATTTAACACCAGAGGAAAAAAAACTCCTGTCAGATTTGAACCCTGAAATCAAAGACCTCAAAGAGAAGCTTGTTGCATGCAAGACTGATCGAATTGAGGTTATTCAATCAATAGTATCGATTTTCACAATATTTTGAAATTAGTGTTATTATACTGAGTTAAAATTTTACAGACTGAAGCTCGGAAAGCAGAACTAGATACCAATCTGACTACTAACCTTAGGAGAAGGAAACAAGAGTTGGAGGCTGTAATAACATCTGTTGATTCTGACTCTCTGGTTGGTGAGGCTGAATCAAAGGGGCAGGAACTTAGTGATGCTAAAATATTGGTTGATGACTTAACAGAAAATGTTAGAAGTGAGTCCTCCAACCAATATAGTCTTTATCTATATCTTGAATATGTTTCTTTTCCTGACCAAATATTCATCCTCAGGAGTTGCTGAAAGTATAAATGATCGAACGAGGCAAATTAAAAAGATCAAAGATGAATTGAATAAATTGAAGGTACATGACCTTGTAATTTGATGCTGGTTGTAGGTAATGTTGCTTCAAACAATGATTAAATCTTTTGGCTGCAGTCTTTGGAGGACGAATATGAAAGGAAACTTCAGGAAGAAGCAAAAGAATTAGAGCAATTGCTGAGTAAAAAAAATACATATGCTGCTAAAGAAGAGGAATATGCCAAGAAAATAAGGGAACTGGGACCATTGACATCAGATGCATTTGAGGCGTAAATATTTTCTTTCACCATATTTTCCCCTTTTGTGTATGTGTGTGTGCATGCATAAGATGAATTATTTTAGAGGGATACTAAAAGTAAACTGAAAGATGCTCCATTCTCATTTATATGGAAATGACGGTTCAGTTATTTGGAAAGCACTAAAGCACTCCATTCTCATTATTAGCAATACTTCATGTAAGGAAAATTGATCATCTTTGTCCACAATGAATTTGATGTTATTACCTTCTTAAGTCTTCTGCTCGTCAAACTTCTGAAATGACGCATTTTCAGTGAACACATTGGTTCTTACTCCATTGTCATTAAATATGGCATGTCTAACTCCTGCTGCCATGAAGACAGCGCTTATAAACAGGAGCATTAAGTCCATCGCATAGTTCCAATGATTCTTATCTGGATTGTTTGGTTACTTCGTTTTTAAATTAATATTAGGTATTCAGTCATTTTTTGGGGGTAAACTTGATTACTATCCATGATAATTTTGACGATCGGGCAGATATGGTGCTATTACATTTTTTTAGCATGCTGCATTGTTATTTATCACTTTCTCTGTACTTTGGTTTTAGCTAACTTTATTTAACTTTTTTCTTTTCCTCATTGCAAATTACAGGTATAAACGAAGGAATATAAAAGATTTGCATAAAATGCTGCACAGATGCAATGACCAATTGCAGCAGTTCAGTCATGTAAACAAGAAAGCACTAGACCAGTATATAAATTTTACAGAACAACGAGAAGAACTTCAGAAAAGACAGGCTGAACTTGATGCAGGAGATGAGGTACTTTTCAGGGATTTCCATTAGGAATGCCCTTTGTAATTGTTTCCTGAGAAACAAAAACCTTTGATGGCTACACTGGCTAGCATAAATTTTTAGTTCTGCACTTTAATATCTAAACGATTTGGGTACAACTGATCTTTAATGACTGTGATATATGTGCCTCTTCAGTAGGTCTTATTAACCAATCCCCTGTATGTTGAATAATCTAGGAATGTTTATATTACTTCGTTTCAAGCTTGATTTTGAAAATTAGGCTGATTCCAATGCCAACTTTTTCATTGTTTTGTTATAATGTATCATACATTGCTAACTTTGTTGACTTACTGAATAATTACAGAAAATTAGGGAGCTGATATCAGTGCTAGATCAGCGGAAGGATGAATCAATAGAACGCACTTTCAAAGGTGTTGCTAGGCATTTTCGGGAAGTATTTTCTGAACTTGTGCAGGGTGGCCATGGTCATCTGGTTATGATGAAGAAGAAGGTTTGTGATGGTTCTTGCTAGGCATTCAGTTTTTTTTTTTTTGAATGGGAAAAAATAGTGCTTTGTAGCTTGTTATGTTGGTTCATGTTTTAAAAGTTAACGGCATTATTCTTTTAATCTTTGATGTCCTATTAATTTCATTTTCTTGTTTCAATGTGGATATTGATTATTGCTTTATTTCCTTGGGTATTCCAAAAAAGTGAGGAATCTCCAAAAAAATTTTAGTTATTGTAATTGATATAACTGGTATTTGTGTGTTAAATTTTCTTTTCCTCAGGATGGTGATCATGATGATGACGAAGATGAGGATGGTCCCCGGGAAGCAAATCCAGAGGGGAGAGTAGAAAAGTACATTGGAGTGAAAGTGAAGGCAAGTGTCTTCTTTTTCGTGCCTTTTTAAGAAAATAAAAATTAATGTAAAGTTTCTGCCAGGAGGCTTGTGGTTTTTTTATCTACATCCTTTGGGATAGTGCAATTGTTATTTGTTTCGGATCCACGAAAGGGTTTTTTATACATTAAAAGAGTGAAAGATAACGGCGCGTGGAAGGAAATATATAATTATTCATATCTGGAAATATGTTTACTATCTTTCATTTATAGTTTGATATTTAGACCGAAGTATTCATTAGCTATTGCAACCCATCAACAACAAAAATTTATATCATATGCCGAAGTATATGGATTAAAATAGCCTATTCTTGTTTCTGATTTACAAATACATAGAATATATGTTGACATTTCTGGACTCCTTTATGGGTGGGTTGCAGGTCTCATTTACTGGACAAGGGGAAACACAGTCCATGAAACAGTTGTCCGGGGGTCAGAAAACTGTTGTTGCCCTTACGCTTATCTTTGCCATACAGCGATGTGATCCTGCGCCCTTTTATCTATTTGATGAGATTGATGCAGCTCTGGATCCACAGTACAGAACGGCTGTTGGAAGTATCCATTTTTATATTTGCTACCATATTTTGTCAAATGACTGGCGTGGGCAATTCTTCCATCTATTGACTGCATATCTCATCTTCCATTAAATGAAATTTTACTGTGCATATTGGAGTTATAGGTTTAAGTTTCTGTTATATATGGTGGGTCTCTAACAATTGGAAACAGGGCTCAACTCAGAACTCTGGATACTTAACTCTGAAATGGGATGGGATGCAATAAAATGGAGTGGAACAAAGTTATCAGTTAGTTTTTGGATATTGTTACGATGAAATGGGCAAAAATGGTTTTCTCTTCGATCCATACCCCTTAAATATGAAGAGAGGAAATAGAAGGGGTTATTGGGACAGAATGGAATGCAATAACATTAAATTCCATTTTATTCTATCATATTTTACAATTATTATTAACTATCTGTTGATTGATTCGTCGCCTAGATTATTTTGAGAACTTTTGCTGTTATCTTAGATCATCCTTTAGGTTTAATTTCCCTATTTCCTAATTCTCTGTAAAGATTGATTAGCATTTCCGTATCTCATGATTTTTTTCCTATTTAGTTAGATTGTTAATTCTATTATTATGGTAATCACATTGTTATGTATCATGTTAAGTCAGTATTATATAAGCCATTCGATATACAGTATCTCTATTCTCTCCGTTTTGGTGGTTCTAGTGAGACAAGACTTTTGTTGTTGTTGCTGTCGTGGTTTTGGGATTTTGGTGATATGAAAATTTATCATGCTTGTGATAAATGATGGCATCTAGATTTCCAGTTATGTCGTTGACCCTTAGGGGATTCTTAACTCTCTTTAGATATGATTCGTCGCTTGGCTGACATAGCAAACACTCAATTTATTACAACAACTTTCCGCCCAGAGCTAGTGAAAGTTGCTGACAAGATATATGGAGTAACACATAAAAACAGGGTCAGTCGTGTTAATGTTGTATCCAAGGAAGATGCATTGGAATTTATTGAGCATGACCAGACGCACAATGCTGAATAAGGTCAGCCTTATAACTTTTCGGCAATTTCTCTTTATGAAACTTTAGTTATTCCTTCTCTGTTTAACTAACTTGCACGTGCAAATTTTGCGACTATGTAATTAAAAGTTAATTGTATATTTATGACTATTGCTGCATGCTTTTCATTGATAAACTTGAAGATTTATTTCTCTGAACATCATATCTGTGTAACTTGTTTGGGCAAAACTGTTTTATATATTTTGATGTGGTATTTGTGTGCTATTAGGTACTTCTCACTCACGTTCTGAAATAGAATTAGTCACACTGGGCACTCTTCGAAGATTGTAATATAGATTGCAGACTCAAGGTCATTCAAATTCTTCGGCCTACTATTTGTCTGACGTGTAGTAGGTGGTGAGGCCAACCAAGGTCTTGGAGTAACCAAAAATCTTGGTCAGATATGTGTATGGAGTTGAAAAATTATTTAGTCCCATTTCATTGTACAAATTCACCCACGCATTTATCTAGTGTTTTAGGATGTTATTTTCAATTTTATACACTAACGAAAGGTATACTGAGAACTTTATCTATTAAATGGATCAATGCCACTTGACTGATTTTGTATATCAAATATTCTAGAAAAGAAAAATAAATCTGATCAATACATGTTTAATCAGATAATTAAAAACGTTAAAAGCATGTAATTATCAAGGGATTGCATAAATCTTGTTCCAAGGAGTATTGATGAATTATTTTGAATTGGTTTTTCAATAGATTTGGATGATTTATAATGTTTGTTAAAAAAAATAGAAATAAAAGACTACAATTTATTATAAAATAATGGTTAATTTTTTGGTTTTTATTTTATCACGTTCATTATTTTTTAGGTACATTTTGTAGTCACAACTTATTTTATGTAATTTTTATATATTGATACTTCAATCAATTAGATTTAATTGATTCTTGCATTCAATTTGAGGTACTGAACAATTTTAATTATATGAAAAATATTAAGTTATAAAAGTTTAGGACAAATCTCATTCAATGATTTAATATTCAATTAAAAAATAAAACCAAAAAAATTTAAAGTATGAGTTGTAATTTGTATTGTTAAGAGCTAAAGTAAGATGAGAAAGAAGAATAAATTTAGAATATTTGAATTAGAATCTAATTAAAGAGAATTGAAATTGAAGATGAATTTGGACTTGGAAGAATCAAACTATAGAGAAAACTTAAAGTGCAGTTGAAACTAAATTGTACAAATAAAAAAATGAATGTTAGATAAAGCTCCACTAGGTTTTATTATATATATCATAATTCATTCAAATACTAAGCTATTTTGTAGAATTTCTTTAGCAAAGAAACAGCTCAATGTGTCAGTCAAAATATGGAAACACATACAAATAATATTATCTTTTATAGGAAGTATGAGGTGCAGGTGAAACTATTAAGCCTTTATGCATTTACTTATTTATTCAAATCTTGCACTTCTCTTTGAGTGAATACTTTTGTGATTGGGTGAAATAATTTTATTCCTTAATTTCTTTTTATCCAAGCTCAAATCCACTAATCATTATCCACCTACATGTCATAAAATATTCAATAAGATTAAGAAATTAAACTCATTTCACAATCAAGTTATAATTCTCAGAATTAATTCAAGTATGTACAATATAATATCAAAACAATGATAAACTAGATCTAATGCACTGGTAAAAGTGTGTATAAAATGTGCTCATTGAATATCTTACACTTTAAACCTCAAGTGAAAGTCTAACATAAAGGTTTTAGAATAATATATACTCTCAAATCACAACAAAGAGATTTATCATAAACTTGACAAAATTTTGATTTTATGAATTAAACATATATAATTAAAGATTAAAAGAACTTCTTTTTATGTTGTAATAAATTCAAGGTATTTTTCATTTTTTTTTCTAGCAACTCGCTGTGTGAAATATTGATCATTAAACGAATCTATCAATTTTTTGTTATATAAGTTAAACCAAATTTATCAGCATGGCTCATTGAATATTTTGCTTGTTGAGTAAAAATAACTCAACAACAAAGTTTTTATTCTTAATTGCACCTCCACACTTTATTAAAAAATGATTCACTTCTGAAATCATCAAACAATGAGAATACTAATATCATAGGGGCTAAACAAGGTGAAAGACTAGTTTGGTTATAGCTAGTAAGAATGAAGTCCTTTGTCATTTCCAAAACTGCATATGAACAAATCCAATAAAAGAAAGAATTCAAGAATGAAACACACAAGCAAAATGAATGACTCAAAAATTCACATGGATGATTTTCTTCTCAATTGATTTAAAAAACTTAATCAAGAGCAATTTAAAGAAATCAATCCATCCTACCACTTATTCTTATCATTATGATGGTAATCAAAATAGTTGCCTATTAAAGATATTGCAAAACTCATTGGCAAACATGTAAATCTATTTTAAACCGATAAAATAACAACTAAATCAATAGTTATTTTTTTTTATCAAACATGTATGACTAAAAATAGTTATTTGAATGATGAAAAGCTATCATTAAAATAGTAAAATGTCCATATAAAAAACAATGAGAAACAAGAGAAAGAAGAAGGAGAAGAAGAATTCAAGATGAAATACCTTAAACCTTCATTTGTTCATATTTTAAAAATGAGCAAGAATAAAAAACAAAAGTAAGAAAACAAGAGCTTCAAAAGATCATGTATGGCAAGGTACAAACTCAATACTATTTAATGACTTAGAGCTCATGAAAATGATTCAACCTATGGGCATTAAATTTAATAATCTTATGAGAGAGAGAGAGAGAGAGACATGAATGAAGGATCGACCATGCCACTGTATGCTTTCCCAGAAAGTGTTGATGAAGATTAGAAAAATGGAAGAAAAGACAAAAAAGAGCAGTAGAAGAAATATGGAGTGAATTTGTGATTGTCAACCCTCCTAACTCCAAACAAGGGATGATGTGTAAGGATCACATGGATTCCTGCACAACCTGCTCCTTCTTTTCTCAACAACAACCACTCATCTTCTACTACTTCACTATTTTCTTATACCTCATAAATAATTCTTTTATTATGTCATGGCAGCTCTTGTCCCTCCTTGGATCCTCTTTGTTCCATTTCTACTGTCGGTTTTGTCTCTGCAACTCACAATTTTTTTGTTTTCTTTTGTTTATGAGGCAGAGGATGGCAAATATTCAATTAGGCTCCCATGCAATGAAAGAGATGGGCTTGTGATCTGACGTGGATTCAAAATCCGATGACTCTGTTTCACTCACAGATACCAACATATAATTCAATAATTGGATTAAAAGAGAAATGTATAACTTTTGGGAATAACACAATTGACTTCCCAATATTAAAACTTCATGTTTCCTATAAATAATATACTAATGTTTCAACCGTAGACGTGATGATAATAATATTATTATAATATTATATATTTTGTGCTCTTTGACTTTCTCATAATTTTGTTTCTAATTTTCTTTTATGAATTAAGAAACAATGGTATTTATAAATTATTTTTAATTTATATTTTTATATAATATATGGTTTAATTTTTTTAAAATATTCTTATTTCAAGTATATTATAATATTATATATTATTAAGATTAATATATAATTGTGATTTGTTAGAATTTATTTATTTTACTTTTTTTTTACAATTTTATCTTTTAAGAATATATATATATATATGTATATATATATATATATATATATATATATATATATATATATATATCTTTAACTTAAAACTTAAATGGAATCCTTTCGACTTTTATAAAATAAATATATTTATGAAGTATTTTTAATTTATTTATTTTAACTAATCTTTGATAAAGAACGAATAAATTCGAGCTCCTATTTACATTATTAGATTTTCTATTATATCTTTATAATTTACAAGATAAAAAATTGTGAATAAAAAATATATATTATAAATTAAATTAAATTTCTTTAATCAAATATAAGAGAACCAAATAATTTTTATTATTTTTTCTTTCAAATATTAAAGATAAATTAAGATCCAACTTTTTATTGTGAGAATTTATTATTAAGATAATTATTAACTGATTTATTGATAAAAGTATTTTAATTATACTCCAATATCATATAGGTAGGAGTATATAAAATGTTTGTTACAAAGTTAGTCGTACCAGAAAGAATATCTAAAGGAATTATAATAACTTAGTAGAAACATAAAGAAAGAGAAAAAAAAACTCATGTAACTAACAAATCAGAAATTTAATATATAATTTTAATACAATAAAAAGAGAAAGAAAAAAAAGAGAGCAAAAGTTAATATAAGAAATATTAAAATTGTTTAATTATGAACTTTGTCTCTCAAAATTTACTCTTATCTACTGAATTTAAAATTATATTTTTAAATCCTATAATTTAAAAATATTAATTATAGTCTCTGTTATCAAAACAATTAAAGATTTTACGTGTATATTTAAAAATTACAAATTATTTATATATAACTTATTTCAAGTTTACATTTTTATCATCAACATTCTATAATATCTTTGTTTTATTTTAAAAGTTTTCAGTCTAACAATATTTAAGTAACACGGTTAAAAACACATTTTTAAAATTATAAGAATTAAAAAATTGAATTTTAATTTTAAATTATGAAAACAACTTTAACTCAATTTTATAAATTTAAAACATACTTTATCTTAATATGTTTTGAAAAAAAAATAGTAACATAAACATTTTCATAAATTAAAAATAGTTTATTAATAATATAATTTTTAAGACGATAATATAATTTTCAAATTAATTTATATTATTTATTGATAAAATCAGTTGATAAATAAAAAAATCATAAAAAATACTTATTATTAATGAATAATATCGATATATTATATTTTGTCACTATCATTAAATTTTTGTCAGTAATTTTAATTTTTTGTAACAAAATATATGAAATAAGTAAATTAAACCCTCGTACATTATTAAAAGAAAAATTGACTTTATTAATAAATTTTTTATTAAAATATTTATATTAATAAATAAGTT